GCGTCCCACAGGGGTATGTGCTCACCCCCTGGGTAAACGAGGCGCGTCCCACAGGGGTCCGCACTCACCCCCTGGGTAAACGAGGCGCGTCCCACCGGGGTCTGCACTCACCTGGTTGGGAGATAGAGACCTGTGCTGAAGCTGCCAAAGATCTGCACCTGCAAGGAGGGGTGCGGGCATAAGCTCACAGCAGGGCAGGTGGTCGGACCCCACTGCCTCCACCCCAAGGCCCCACCGGGACATATGTGGAAACCACAGCTAGCTCGCAGGCTGGGAGGAAGAAAACAATCCTACAACCATCTACAAAACCCTCTGGGCCCTTTAAGACCTGCTCCAGAAAGAAATTTTTAAAGACTCGAAGAGATGCACCAACTGTCAGACTCTCCCCACCCCCACCCAAAGCGGAGAACTTTCCAGAGCTGATTTCAAACCCCCAGTGGTTTCCACAGCCCTAACTAAAGCACCAGAGCAGCACTCCATTCAGGAAAGCTCAGGCCAAGAGTGCTGCGTACCCTTCTAAAGGGGCCACCAAGGGCAAGGTGCCGCCAGGCTCCCAGATGGGAGGATAAGCCATCAGAACCGGGAGCCCGTGGTGACCGTGTGGCCGGGACCAACGTGGCTGAGCGCAGGCTCTGTGCGCACGCACCCGCACACCTCAGCTCAGCACTCCATCGCTCACTCGTGTGAGAGCCGTGACTGATGACAGACCCCAAGGCTTCCACAAACGAACGCTCACCACTGGACAACTGTAGTGGCAGGGTACCATGCGTCACTGTCGCTGGACAACTGTAGGGGCAGGGTACCACGTCACTGGACAACTGTAGGGGCGGGGTACCACGTGTCACCGCCACCGGACAACCGTAGGGGCGGGGCACCACAAGTCACCGGACAACTGTAGGGGCGGGGCACCACGCGTCACCGTCACTGGACAACCGTAGGGGCGGGGCACCACAAGTCACCGGACAACTGTAGGGGCGGGGCACCACGCGTCACCGTCACTGGACAACTGTAGGGGCGGGGCACCACGTGTCACCGTCACCGGACAACCGTAGGGGCGGTGCACCACAAGTCACCGGACAACTGTAGGGGCGGGGCACCACGCGTCACCGTCACTGGACAACTGTAGGGGCAGGGCACCACGCGTCACCGTCACTGGACAACTGTAGGGGCGGGGCACCACGCGTCACCGGACAACCGTAGGGGCGGGGCACCGCGTCACCGTCACCGGACAACTGTAGGCAGGGGACCACATGTCACTGGACTACTGTAGGGGCGGGGTACCACATATCACTGTCACTGCACTACTGTA